GGGATTGAACTCAGACCCTTGACGCTTACCAGGCAAGCAATTATTCTACTGAGCCATCTCCCCACCCCCTGGCATCAGCTCTTGATAAATTCTGTCACAGATGACATGCTTCCCCTGACAGCACCATAGAGAAAGAACTCGAGGGGCTGGGAATATGGCTCAGTGGAATAAGTGCTTCCCCAGGAAGTGCAAGGGTCTGAGTTCAATCCCTGGTTCGGGGGGGGGGGAACACTTATTAAAAAAATAAAATAAAATAAAAGGGGGACTAGGGAGATGGCCCAGTAGAATAAGTGCTACCCTGGCAAGTGCAAAGGCCTGAGTTCAATCCCTGGTTCCGAAAAAAAAAAAAAAAAAAAAAAAAACTCACGTCACCTACAAATGTTTGCTGTGGTCACAACAAAAGCACTTGTTGGCTGCCTTCCTCAGGTCCTATGTATGCTTCCTGTTGGCGCCCTCTGATGATGTCACCCTGCGTCAGCCCAAGGCACAGCTCCCTTGGGCCAGGCTGCTGCATCCCACATGGACCCGAGGTGATAGGGAGAAACTTGGCACAGAGACAAAGCTGAAATGCTGCTTGAGGGAGCGCAAGCATGCAGAGCCAGCAGTTGTGCAGGGTTGTGAGAAACAGACTTGGACTTCTCTTGCAAAGCACAAGGCCAACACAACTCCATTTTGGATGTAAACGATCTGCCCGTCTACTCACTCCCCACCCCTAATGTTACTACCCCGAGCTCCAAGAAAGGGTGCCTGTGTACTTCTCCCCAGAACCCAGCCTGTCTCCAAGATAAGAGCCAGTGACTTTCCAGTCTAAACCACAATCTCCTTTGTCTAACTGACCCAGCAACACATCACGGCCTTGCTTGTGTCATTGTCACCAACTTCTGAAGATTGTAAATTTTTAAATTCAGACAATGAATTTTTTTTTTCAGACAATGAATTTAAGCATAGCTGTTTTCCAAGTCTTAGGGCTTGAATCCCCAGTTTGCCCAGCGCCCAGGGCATGTGCTGCCTCATTGCTGGGGTGTGCTGGCACCCTTTTGCAAAAGAAAAGGCCTCGCTGAAATTCCTCGATGTTACAGTGCTTCCTCATTTGCAGCGATGAACTCTCAGTACTTATTTCCAACAGATTGAATCCAAAGGTGATTAAGTTTGAGGCTAGCATGGATTATAATTAGATTATCTCTGTAAACACACACACACACACACACACACACACACAGTGATAACACCAGCAAACCTCAAAAAATGTGCACTTGTGGAGGTGGGGTGCAGCATTGGCAAGGCCTGGCCTTTGATTGCCAATGGGGGAACACTAAAAGCAAACGATACCCTTGTTTCAGAGACTGCAGTCTGGGCTAACCTCTTCCAACGCACAGAAATCACGGCAAGCCACAGAGGAGAAAATGTGTAATTGCTTTTGGGGAGACAGAAATAAGAGTAAAAGGAGATGTAAAAATAGGGGGGCAGGGCCACAATTTAGTCCTTCCTCCTAGTGTTGCTCAACCAGGCACCCAGAAGTGTGATTTAAAAGTACCCTATATGTCGCCCGTGCCACCCAATTATGAACAAAAATATCACAGGATTCCACATTTTCCTTCTGGAAACATTAGTGTTCAAAGGGTGCTAAAGTGCAAGGGGGCACCCCTGTGCACAGAGACAGAGTCTGCAGTTCTCACACATCCCTGCCTCGCTACCAGATGTGACCAAGGGATGGCGTGGGGGGCTCAGTTTCAGCAATCACCATGCCCCATGCCTGCCCATCAGCTTAGCTTCAGCATGCAGGAATTTATTTGATCCTGAATGAAACATAAAACATGTCAAAGGGAAGTGCAATGTTTGCTTTCATCTTTACTATTGCAGAATATAGCTACTATGTAACTCTTACTTCTCCACCTATATAATCACTGTTTTCCTTGCAGGGGTGTAGATAAATTCATGTCTTGAATGACAGTGGACAGCTTAAGATAGTGTGAAAATCTATTTTTAAAATTTTATTTCAAGGATTAAAAAATAGGGGCTGGGGATATGGCTCAGTGGCATAGGCGCCTGCCTGGCAAGTGCAGGTGCCAAGTTGTATCCCGGTACTGAAAAAAATAAAAAATGAAATAAAATTTCAAACGATAATAGGAGGGCAACAATGGCCAATACATTGCAAAGTGTTATGCTTAAGTTAGTTACTCAGAGTACAATATGTCATCATTTAAATGCCCAAACAATATATAGATAGATAGATAGATAGATAGATATAGATTTTTTTTTTTTTTTGGTGCCTCACCAACTTGGCTTCAATGAGCAGTACCATAAAGCCAGTACCTGAAATATCAGAGGGGTGTTTGCGGAAGAAAAGTTCAGACTTTTGATCATGTGACTTGTAGGATCATACTTTGACGCGAATTCTTTGATTATGACTGTTTTGGCTGTTCTTGGTCACCTATTAACAGAACAGCCTTGTCCTGTTTAGCAATGCTTTTAATTAGAAAGTCAGTCCTCACGTTGTCAGTGTTTGACACCAGAATGGAGCCCTACTCGGGAGTGGCAGCAGATGGGTACACGTCCTCCTGGGCTCATGTGCTCCAGTGCATCCGGGTCCCTGGCAATCCTAGTTCTGAAGCAATCAGAAGAGGACTGAAGCTTAGGAGCAGCAGGGTTTGAACGTCCCTAGGCAGTCCAGGTTCTTCCAGAGGCATTAGCATCCAAAGGCCATTACACCATCAGGTGCAGAAAGGGTCGCTCTTCCTTTTGCATTCTCTTCTTCCGACGCAGCTGCCACTGCTACCGAGCTTCGTGCTGGAGTCCAGAGCCTGCTCTGGGCTCACCCTCCGGCTTCTGGCCACTCAGGGTGCAGGGTGTGGGCAGCTCCTGAGGAGCGCGTCCTGTGTCAATGCGCTGTATTTTTTTTAAGACTAAAATTTTATTTATTTTTATGAATTTAGGACAGGGTCTACAGGGTGTACAGGGTCTCGCTATGTGGATTGGACTTGTAGTGATCCACCTGTGTTCAGCCTCCCAGCAGCTGGGATTACAAACAATATTAACACAAACCTTTCCTTTCAATGAAGGGAAATTAGTAATATAGCTATATTAAGTACTATATTATATATATATATATTTCTTTTTCATTTATTTATTTATTTTTTGCGGAACCAGGGATTGAACTCAGGCCCTTGCACTTGCCAGGGAAGTGCTTATTCCACTGAGCCATCTCCCTGGTTCCAACCCTCCCGTTACTTTTATTTAGTGTGTGTGTGTGGCCAGCTCAGCCCACCAGGGGGCGGGGCTGGCTGGCATGTGGTGCTGGGGGATTGAACTGCGGTCCCTGTGCTTTGCTTAGCTTAAGCTTGTTCTAAGTAGGTGCTTTAGACCACTGAGCCATCTCACCAGCCCATCTTTTTCATTTCTTTTCTCCATTACTCTATCCCACTTTGCCTTTCCTTTTGAAATTACTTCCCACCTTATAACATCTATCATACATTTGGGATTTCATTTATTTTCTCAGCTTGGCACACTAGGAAGACAATACGACATTTACCCATGTGGTCTCATTTATTCCACTTACAAGTACGGTCTTGAGTTGCATCCATTTACCTATAAAAACCTCAAGCTTGGGCCAGGGAGATGGCTCAGTAGACTAAGCACTTGCCTGGCAAATGCAAGGCCCTGAGTTCAATCCCCAGTTCCGAAAAAAAAAAAAAAAAAGTTAGAAATCAATCAGAGGCCTGTGAACCCAGGCTCCCACAGCCTGTCAGTAACTAGCTTACTAAATTCAGCTGAAACTCCTGACTTTCTGGCCCCAGCTGTTCCCCATCAGTGTCATAGATCAAGCTGACTAAGTTCCTTTAATTGAGAAAATATGCACTGACTCTGGCCTGCTTCAAGGCCGCCACACTGGGGAAGGCCTGGCCCAGCCAAGGACACACTCAGCTCTGCTCGCCCTGCGCGTCCATCTCCTCTCCCCAGAAGGCGACAGTCCTGCCTGCCATCGTGTGACAAAATTCTTGTACTCCATGTAACCAATCACACAATAACCTGTTATCAGCTCTGTATTTCTCTCTTGCAAATCATAATTAAACTGGACTCAAACCGGACTCTGGCCGAGGACTTGCAATCTCAGTTTTCCTCAGCCTGCTGCAGCTGCCTATACAAGTCTGCCCTCTGGACTCCTCGGTACAGAGCCTTCCACTAGTCATCAGCAGCAAGCTCTTTCACTCACCCAGCAACGCACCAGCCCCACCCTTGCAGCAGCGAGTGATCGACCAGGACACCCTGCAAGCCTTTCAATTCTGCCCATGAATGTGAAGCCAGCGGCCTCCGTGCTGCAGGCTCAAATCTCCTGCTTCCCCTGCTGGTCCCAGCGTCTGCTGCCTATTGCTGGAGTGTGTTCTCGCCCTTGTACACAAGGGAAACCTTGTCAAGGTGCCCTGATGTCTGCCTGCCTCACCATCTGCCCTGCAGAATTGAGTCTGAGAAGGCATTTCCAACAGGTTGCAGCACGAGAGAGTTTGAGGCTGGCCTGGGCTACCCAATGAGAGTCTCTCTTTAAGAACACACACAGCAAGCAACATCAAGCGCTTGGCGGCAAGCACAAGGGCCTGAGCTCAATCCCTGGTTCCGCCAAAAAAAGCAACATCAGAACGCTGGTGAACCTCAACAAAAAGCAAAGCTATGGAGTTGGGGGTGAGGCTGGCTTGGGGTACAGCACTCACCTAGCATTGGCAAGGCCTTGACTTTTGTCTCCAGGGCCACAATAGCAAAAACAGACAAAGTCTCACTGTTTCACAGATTGCAGTCTCAGTCTGATTTCTTCCAACAGAGAAACACTATAGATAATACAAGAGAAGGAAACTGTAGCTACTTCATAAGAGGCGGGAAGCAGAGAGTAGGGACGTAGCCCCAGAGCGTCCAGGGGCCAGAGTGGCCCATCAGGTGACGCTAGCACGACTCACCCAGATCCCAGAAGCGTGCTTTGCAAGTATCCCGCGCTCACCCAGGCCGCTCCAGCGATGACAGGCGCACCACTGGATTCCGGGTGCTACTGGACTCCTAGGAGTACCAGCGATGAAAGGGGAGGGTTTCGGTGTGCCGAGGACACGGCTGGGCTCTCCAGGCTGCAGTCTGAGGTCCCGCACACCTCCGCCTGCTCCGCAGGAAGCGACCCGGTGGGCGGGAGTGCGGTGCGTTTAAGCAATCGTTCCTGCCTCGTGCCTGGCTGTTTATCTTCAACATCCAGGGAGGGTTTTGATCCTGGATGAGGTATGAAGCTTCTCTAAGGGAACTGGAAAGTTTCCTTCCTTTTATCTTTACTTTTTTGCAGAGTACCTCTATCACTGAGCTCTACTCCTCCATCTACATAACAAATGTATTCTTTTATGTGAGCATGTATTTATTTTCCTCAATGACAGTGAGGTGACTGAGGCAGTGTGGAAATCTTGAAGCTTGCTGTCTCATTTCCAAGTATTTACCTGCAACACAGCCAGCCCTGCCTCTTCCACTTGGTCCTGTCTTTTCCTGCACTCATAACTTTCTCTTACTTTGGGGGATTGATTCTTCCATAGAACTCTGACCATGGAATCTTTGGAGCGCTCTAGTGACCCCATTTCAGAAAGAGCCCGCTATGTCCACTGTGAAAACCACAGCAGATCTAGAAAGCCAGGAGTCCACTGCTTGAATACAGTTATTTTAGGTGAGGTGAGGTTGACACTGGAGAAGAAAGTCTTGTTTAGAATTTCCTGGGGGGAAAAAATCTATCTTCGCGCTGTGGCCAAAAAGGCCGGAGGGAGCAAATCCCCCCGCCCGTCCCCTGGGCTAGAGGGGGCGGGGCTGCGGGAACTGTCCAATCAGGTGAGCGGGGCGGGACTTACGGTGCTGCGCCTCGGTCGCGCGCACCTTGCAGAGGCGCCCTCACAGCTTCTTAAAGCAGCGCCTGCGACTCCTGCCGGCCGCGGGCTGCGGGAAGGACTCCGGGACGCCCGCGACGGTGAGGCGGGGACGGAGCCGGGAGGGCGGGCGGGGGTGCGCGGGGCTGCGTGCTCGGCGGGCGGTGCGGGGCGGTGCGGGCTCACCCGCCTCCTCCTCTGGCCTCCGCGGGGTGCGTGCGCGGGGAATGTCTGAGTTTGCAGTATTTGCCCGTATTGCCAACCTCAGTCAGTGGTGATAGAGTTAGAGAAAACACTGCACTCCTCGCTGTCTTGGGGTCGTTCCGGGAACGTGCCCAGCTGGTTCACCTGCGATCCGCATCTGCCTGGCGCTCGTAATCTCACTTCCTCTTCCATCGCCTGAAGGAGCGAAGGGCGCCCCTGTCCAGCGCTGTTACTCCTGAAACACTTCCCACTTGTAGTGATTTGTGTGTCTCTGGGGAAAGAGATTGAGCCCTGCTTATGTTTTACACAAGTGACAAGAGACTGCCATATCTGAAATTCCTCTAATGGCTCCAGGGCTCCTCAGAGTCTGAGGCCTGAACTTCCACGTTGGTACCTGGGAGAAGCCCACTAAATAGAGTCTGCAGGGTCACCTTTGGGCTAACGCAGAGTTGAGTTCCAGGCCCCCTCAGTCTGTCCTCCCATCTCCCGTGGTTGTCACCAGGCAGCGGAGTCTGTTCTGATTTTTCACATTAGTGACATCTGAAAAGCAGTGCAGGTGGTGAGGGCAGAGCGTGCAGGGACCGAGAGTGCTTTGAGTGGTGGTGCTCATTCTCTTTGGGGTTTGGGTAAAGAAAAGGTGACAGCTCTTGTGGTCCTCTTTTGCCCTTTCTGGTGCCCTGGCATTCAGGGTGTTGTACTCCACCGCACCTGCTAAGTCGCTGGTTTTCAGGTGTTGGTGATGGCGTCCATGAGAGAACCTGTGAAGTTGTCTGCATGGTCCTGTTACGCCCAGGGTGTAGGGCATGTGTGAGATCTGTAGGATGAGCAGAGCTCAGGGACATTGATCAGTGTCAATAACATAGAGGAAAGTCCTTAAAATATGAAATCTTGGCCCTAGATGTCACCAGACCTCTGCCCGCACATGTGTCCTCTTGCCCCACTGTGGCCCTGCTCAGCACGGCTGGGTTGCACCCCACAGCTGCATGCACAGCCTTCGTGCCGTCTGCAGGCCCCAGGGAGAGATGGGTGCAGACGTGGGTACTGCCATGTGCGGCACGTTGCCTCATGTACACTTGTGTTTAGTGTGCCTGAGTGGGAGAATGTTGGAGAGCGCGTCCTGTGTGTTCGTTAACACACTCCGTGTTATGTCCCAGATTTGCTTCCATCATTGTATGTGTGACCCCACCAAGGTCTCTACTCTTTGTCTCCATAACAACTTACTTGGCTTTCCCCAGCTGTGGGAAAGCAGGCTTGTCTTGTTCCGTCACTGGTGAAAATGCCACACGTGCATTCTTCTGCTGCCCTGAAAGTAGATTTGAGAAAATGCTGCAGCTGCTCGGGGCCAGGAGCCTCTGCTGGTGCCCAGGGGTGTGTCCACTGAGCATCTCAGTGTCCTGCGCCCACATCCACCCATGGGCTGTAGTTCCAATTTCTACAGCCACCCAACATTAGGCTTCTCTAATTTGGTAAGTTTCATGGATTCCTAGAAACAATCATGTGTTTTCAATTTTGTACCATTATGCTTCCATTTTGTACACTCATTTTTCATTTTCTTTTTTCTTCTTTTTTTTAATTATAATTTTTTTTATTTTTTTCCATAACTTTATTGAGAAACAACGACACATTTCAAATCAAATTGGTAGGACAGACTTTTTTCATTTTCTGTATAAGCCTTCGTCTAAAATATCTTCATTCTTTCCAGCCCCACCCCTGGGGCGCACTGTACCAGCCACCAAGTCTGGGCATCGTGGCACATGCCTGTAATCTCAGAACTGGGAAGCTGAAAACAGAATCACTATGAGTCCAAGCTGTGTAATGAGACTCTGTACCAAATACATAAAAACATGAAAAAAATCTGCATTCATATTTTCATAATTTTGTCTGTATCTTTTGTTCTGTTCCATTGATCATCAGATTTTTTTTTGCCAGTACTATGCTGATTTTATCACAGTAGCTTGGCAGTATGATTCCAGATGAGGGATTTTGAAGACTCCTATCTTGCCTTTGTTACCCAGGATTGCTTTTTCTATTTTAGATCTCTTGGTTCCTGAGAGGAGTAGAAGTAAGGGTTGTAGAAGTAAGGATCAGGGTGTTGTGCCTTCCATCTACTTGTTTGTTACATTATTCAGGCTTTCCTGAGATGAAGGCCTCAGTCAAAACACAACTTTACCTGTTGTTCATCTATTGCGAGGCCTGTGGGCCTAGCCATCGTGTCTGCATCACGCGACCTGGTTTCTCTCAGCTCGGCTCTCAACCACAGACCAGACTCGCCTCCTGTCAGAAGTGGCTGTCTTGAGCCTGATGCCTTTCTTACTGTCTATGAATCTCTACCTAACTTCACTATCTGTGGTATTAACATTCATGAACCATGTTGGTGTAGAATTAAGTGTTCAAAAGTCTTATGTGTACGTCTAAGATACTGATTTATGAGTAATATGGAAACACGATTACACATTGATCATATCATTCAAAATTCATGATAAATACTAATTCACAGAGGCCTCAATTAATTCATGCAAACATCATCTGACCGTATTAGTTACTCTTCTCTCAATGCTGGGACAAATACCCAACACTCCAAGTGAAGGAAGGAGAGGTTCATTTAGCTCACAGTTACTTGTGGCTTCAGTCCATACTCAGCCGGCTCCGAGGCAGCCTGGCACAGAGCAGAGAGCAGCCTTTCATGGTGGTGGCCAAGAGCAGAGAGCAGAGGGAGTGGCAGCAGCTCAGGCAGCTAGCTGGCTTCTCTCATCTCCTTACAGTGTAATACAGACTACCTGCCCCAGGTCAGGTGCAGCGTCTGCACCCAAAATAATCAATCACAAACTCCAGGTGCCACCTTATGACTGCAGGAGGCTTGAGGGGGGGGGGACAACTAGACACAAACCATAACACTGAGGAAATACAGATAGTTGAAAAACTTAGGCTTCACTTTGAAAGCACTAATTTTTTGGAACCCCTTTGGCTGAATACTGGAAGACAGCACTACTTGCATTATTGGACTCTGCGTGTGATGCCTAGAGTGACTGTGGAGGCCAGCCTGGGCAACTGTCCTTGAAGAAGGAGCTGCTATCTCCATTTTGGCTGAACCTGACCCTATTCTCATGTATAGACATGTGCAGAGCTGGCTAGGATTTTCCTTGTCTCTTCAATTGGCTTTAAATAGTGCATATTAGTCCAGCGTCCATGCTGATACGGAGTCTTTGATGCAAAGATGACAGGGTACTGTTTCTCCCTGCCCCGTTGCTCCCATATGTGAGTCAGGATGAGGTGGGACGAAGAGCCAGCACTCTACTCTGTCAGCTGGGATTAAGCCTCAAGATAGAGGCTATGACTTCCTAGTGCTTGAAAAATTATCCATCAGAGCTGAAGCACCAGCCTCAAAACAATAGTTACTACCTCAACTTGTGTAATGCAGATTACTCCTTCTGCACACCCTTCTCTCTGCATATCACAGAGGTGATTCCGTGCCTACCTAGCTGTTAAGGTTTGAATCTAGTTGTCCCCCCAAAGCCTCATGTAAATCATGGGGTGGTCTCCACTTGAGGAGCTGCATGTGTCTGGAGGGTTGGAGCCAGAAGACCATGATGGGGCTTGAGGGGTGGAGCCAGAGAGGCGCAAACCCTTAAACTGACAGCATGTGTCTCCCCTGCCCTCCCCCCAGGCCTGGTGGCCTCTCTTGGAGGTACGGAGCAGAGCATCCAGGACACGGTGGCGCCCCAGCCTCTCTTCCAGACCCTATAGCATGGGACGGCAGTGTCTCGAGGTCTGGCTATGTAATTCAGGCTGCTCTAAACTATGAAACCTCCAGGAACTGTGAAGTAAATAAACCTTTCTTTCCCTAAGCTTGCGTCGGGTATTTGTCCCAGCAGCGAGAGAAGAGTGACTAAGACACTAACCTAGCTCACAGCACTTACCTACTTCCCAGCATTCTCACCATCACTTGCTCTCAAGCCACACCTGTCCTCAGGAATTAATAAAATTCTGTTTGCCCTGAGTCAAGGCCTTTGTTCTGGAGAACCATCCTTGTGGCTTGACTTAGGATCCTTTGGCTCTTCCATAACTATAAATTTGCTCAGCATCTTTATTCTCATCATGGTTTGCACTGGAAGTCGTAGATTGGAATAAGCTCACTAGAATTCCAATAACCTCATGGAGTTATAGGTATAAAGTTCCTGGGCTATGACAGGGGCTAGGAAACCTCTCCACAAGTGATGACCTCCAGCGTCTGTCAGCAAGATGGCCTTTACCAAGTTTAATTTCACACTTGAGGCCAAAACTCTGAGTAAAAATAAACCTCTTCATTGTTCACTGAACATGAAATATTATGTATATAAATGGAAGAAGGACTGAGAAAATATATTTGTCAGAGTTGTGGAAACTGCCAGGGCATGCTCAATGCGACCATCTTGTAATTTTATTTGGTACTGGGAATTGACCTCAGGACCTTGCATTGGCCAGGCAGGCACTTGTGCTGCTGCGTTATATCCCTGGCCCTATCTTGTAATTTCAGTAACTGAGTTTTCTACACATCCTCAGCAATAGTTATTACCATGTGTCTTTCTGGCTATAGTCTGCTAGCTGCAGTTTATTATGACATAACAAACCTAAGGGTAAGTATGGTTAATAGCTACAGATATGTGAATTGTTTCATTGTAAGAAAGTTGCAATTTGTGTTCTAATTTTTAAGATGAAACAGTCAAAAGAGGTGACATTGTTGAAATGTGTTTCCCACTTTTTACTTAGAAAGAAAGAGAAAATTACACAAAATAACCTATCAAGACTCTGAAAAGAGTGGAGGTGAAGGGAGAGTTTGCTGTAGGGCACAGGTGGAAGAAGCCAGGGTTCTCTATAGTGGGGAAAGAGAAAGGGAAACAAGACACCTGGGTCTACTTCA